CGAATATTGGTTATAAAAAAATTTAAGCGCATTAAACGAAAACGCATTAATCGAGGGATCCCTGTATATGCATCTATACAACTTGAAAAAATTCGTATGATTATCTATATATACAGCTTTAAAACTTAAAAAAAACACTATAAAACCTGCATGTCTATATATAGATATAAAAACTAGACAATTTGCATTGCATATGCATGCATGTATAAATCTCATGCGGTTACAAAACAGTCCATGAACCATTCCAATCCAGTGTTTCCAGACTCCCCATATAGCTACAGGGTATATATATATATATATATTACAAGCATATACACAACATGTGGTATGTTGATTACCATGCATCATAGTGATCATACGAGCAGTACCATTATCAATGATAACATTGTGACAACGATATCAGGAGAAATAGCCATCAATCTGCATGAAACCAGTCAAAAGGTTGTCCTTGTTTCCCGAGAGAACATCTTACACCAACTACATATTTCATTAAACTTAACTGTTTCAAATAGCACAGTATTGTTATTATATATATTCATGTTTATGATGAACGTGAAAAAAAAACACATTAAAGAAACAATATTATTAAAAATTGTTAATTTAAAAAGAGGATTAGGGATTTTCAAAAAATTACAGAAACAAGATAGGTCGCTTAAAATGAAAATACAATCGCATAAAAAGTAAACAAACAAGCTTAAGGTTTGAGACATGGTGCCCCCCCCAGGGACACAATGTCTGCGGACTTACAACGCTAGAAACCGGGTTTGGGTACCCGTGGTGGGCAGATCACAGATAGCTTTGTGTTGCTTTGTGCATAATTACAAACAAACAATGCGACCTAGTTTTGAGAATATTTCCTCAAGCTACAAATTCCTATTTTGACTGCAAGTCTGAATGCTGTAATATTTAGGAGAGTCAAGATAGGGCTTTAATAATCTTGTTAATACCATCGTTGTACATAATGGGCACTTATGGTACTTCGTTATGTTTTTTAACAGAGTGAAAGGTTTAACTGTTAGTTGATTTTCGTAAAGCAAGATTTCTTCGACAAATTCTCTGTTTTCTCCTTGTTAAGTTATCAAACTATTATGGGTATACAAGAATAATCAATAGTTAAGTCAATAAAAAAAGCTAAAAAATATACTTACATCTAACCAGCTCAGTTCCAAGTTCCCTTCAACGTATGTGCAATTAGTGTAACGCTCCCGAAGTTTCTGGTAGTGATTTTGAATGTCTCTGCGCCTAGCTAATCGGTGATTAGTCCCCAAACATACTTAGAGAAGATAAAAATAAATGATAAGGAAAATTTATTTACAAAGCCCAAACATATTAATGATTTAACGAATACCCAGATCTCACGAAATATCTTTTTACTGTTGTTTTTCAGAATGTTTCGCTTTATATCTTATGGAAAATTTAGAACTATAAACATTTATCTTTTACCTACTGAGATTTCATTAACGTAGGATTATAATTTTTCTCGAAGCTTTAGTATTTAAAACACGACTACGTAATAAACTTAAAGTAAATATCCAAATTTTCGGGGTCTTTGGACATGCAGCAAACTTTATAAATTAATGAACAAGCATTACAATATATATATATATATATATATATATATAACATTACCGTACATTTATTTTAGAATATTTTTTATCAAAGAATCATCTAATAATAAGAAGTGATAATAATAAAAATGAAATAAATTGTCCTATATGGGAAATTTAAAAAGTGATATAGTTAAGAAGATATTTTCTTATTTTAAAGATATATTTGCTTTGACGGATATAGATAACAACATCATTGTGCCACGACCCCCTACAGCTTTGCAGAGGGAAAAGTCTTATAGCATATAGAGTCCAATTCCCCGGTGGGTCAAAGGTCAGTTTACGAATTGACAACGCTAAAATTATGGATTCGATCCCCGCGATAGTTAGAGCGCAGACAGCCTATTATGTAGCTCTACGCTAAAACACACAAACAAAATAAAAACAGAGTCCTTTGAACTTAATCAAGAAACTTAGTGATACTTGTGGCCCCACCTATTGAGCATAAAACTTGCATCTTTGACAGTTGAAAACATTCGCATCTCTCAATATACTCTGTCGCATATTTATAATAAAATTATATTATTTCTAAATACTCTTCAAACTTATCAATATTTTCCAGAGGCCTCTCTATGACGCCTAATGGAAACGAAAATCCTTGCTAAGATTTTGTTCTTAATGCAGCAAAAAAATAAATAAATGCGACAATATTCACTGTCGAAGTTTCTATGCAAGTCATTTCATACATACTGTGCTGTAGTCAGGTCAAATAAATTTTTTGGTGATAAAAGATTAAAATTATGCTATTGTTTTTAGTGATTTTTAGTACAAATCTATAAAATGAGCCATTTACGCACTGTCAATCACAGGAATCGAACTCCGAATTTTAGCCTGTTAAGTTCATAAACTTACCTCTGTCCCACAGGGGGACTTAATTCATGCCTGCTAAAAATAATTTAAAAAGAATAAGGAGGTAACAAGATACTCTTTATGTTTGGCTATTCATTGCTTATATCTTTAGATAATTCCAGTCCAAAAGTTAGTTGGACAACATTTAAAAATAATAATTTTTTTTATTTCTGCAAATCAAGTTAAGAGCTAGAATGTTTCGTTGGTTAGTAAAAGTTACTAAACTGTTTCGTGGCTTTTAGATTACGTCAATAATTATACTTACGTTTCATTGGTTGAGGTTTTAAAAAACTGCTTTGACGTACTTCTCAAAAGGTATGAAAAAGTAAAACACTTACCTTCGATCTCCATAACAGTAAGTGTACCTGATAATGTTTCTATGACTATACACCTAGGTTTGGAAAATGGATTAAGAAGACAATAAATAATATACAAACTCTGCTAACTTTTTCTTTGCTTGAATATTTTCTCTGTTTGAATATTTGCGGTTGTCATCCATATGATCAGCAAAAAAACTGAACCTGAAGCAAGAATTATTTGTTCAAAGTACATTCTGTAGTTCATCCCAGTCAAGACGTTACAGCAACATTGGCTGATGAAAATAACGAATTAAAGGAATGGAAAAAAGTGGTGTTTATTAGTATGTTCTTAGATGAGTGCAGTCAATATTTTGTTATATGTGCACAGTATATGTTCAACATATTTACACAGTTTACATAAAAGAAAAGGTGGTCATAAAATAAGAAGTAATAACGAGCTGTACTCTTTACAGGGTTCCATTTTACACAAATATTCACTGTTTAAAACTATGACGTGTTGCACAACGGTGACTCATCAGAAGTGTCATCTCGGATTTTCCAAATTCATCTTGAGCAGAGACTGATTCTCTTGGATGGCTCAGTTTTGAAGTCATTGTTTGTGCCACAAGAACAGATTTTTCAAATGAGAAATAGCACTTTTAATCGACGTAATGCTGTTGTGGTTTCTATCGTTTTTCCACTGAATAATATTTATTTTTTCTCCACAAGATGGCTCTTGAAGGATAAAGAAACCTGTGGTGAACTGGCACTATATGCTGACACTGCAACAAAATGGTAAAAAATCAAACAAAATCATTAGATTTTCTTAAGTGGAAACGAACAGTACATGTAACATTATTGCACAACAATGTTCGATGACATCATAACTCGAACATGGAAAACCAAATCAAAATGTTTTAGTTTTTCATTTCTTGTGGTGCACGATTAATTTTGTCATGTGTTTAAATATGTTTACAACCGTATGTTTGAGAAACAAGCTTTCAGTGTTAATTGAAGATCCTATTCAATAACTCAATGATATAAAAAACAGCTTTTCAGTTGGAAAAACTTGATTTATTAACACAAAAAACAACGTTTTGACCCATAATAGCGGATCATCTTCAGGTTAACGTGAATATTGCCAAGTTTTGTTTAGTTTTAACAAGGCGCTGCAGAATAGAATATGTCTCGGTGCATCACCCTTCATAAAAGTGCATAAAAATATGTGAAGAAACAAGATCTTATTTTATTTGATGTCTAAGGTCTGAAATTTGTTAATTCTTCGTTTTTCAGCTTGAATGTTATATATTTGTAATAATAAGCTATTTTAATTATCTGTAAGCCGTAAGCAATTTCCGTGTTTAAAATAATGACGTCAGCGTGCATGTAAACTTGCCTGTAAATAACATACTGAGAACCACCATAAAACGGTTAATATAATGGAAAGAGAAGAAAATGTGGACTATTCATTGTCAACAAAGTAACCATTTAATCTAAGTATTTCTGTGTTTTCGGGTTTTTAATGTCTAACTTTACTTCTCAATAACTTTAGGTGTTTTATTTAATTTATACTAACTTGAAATAGTGGAATTCAAGTAATAGGATTCAGATCTGATATAACGACGAAGTCATCTGATTACTGAACAGTTAAAGTGTGATCAGCTGTCATCATATTTAGACACAAGATATTGTTAAAATCTTCCATCTACTTAGAACAATTAGAGAACCTGTGATTTATATTTTATGGGAAAGCGCTTTATGTTATTTTACGTTGTCTTTAGTAATGGTATTGAGAAGAGAAAAAAATTATTTGAGCAATGAGCAACTAAAAGGAAATACGTGGTCATTTTTGTTATGGATAATGAAGGATTACCAAAATACTTAAACAGTTTTAGTTCATTATATTCTAAACAACAGCCACTTTATTTCTACCATAAAACAAAATGTAGTTCATTAATTAAAAGCTTTTTGATTAAAAAACATATTTTTCTTTATGCCTAAACAGTAATTAGTCACCCAGAAAAGTAAGTCTTCGTAGGAGAATAAGGCACTTCGCAAGAGAGCATTAGTTTAGATATTGATAAAATGTTAAGCGTTTCACATAATCTTTTGTTACGACAGCGGAAGTCAAGTGACGCTAGTAACACGTGATGAGTTTCTAGAAGGATCATGAAGGCTCGAGTGTTTGCCAGACGCCCTCTATTTTAATATATAAGCCTGGCAAATAAAGGGAGACAATAATTGCAGATAGACAGATAATTGAGTCAAGTGAGCGGTAGTGACAGTAAGAAAAGTGCGTGAATCGTTGTGAATTATAGCGTATGTTTAAGTTAAAGTGACGGTGGAAATTTTGTGTATTGCAAAGTTGTATTGAGAAAGAATAAACTAGTTTTATTTAAGAAAAGACTTGTATCGCTGAAGTTTTTCGGAAAGAATTTCTACGGGAAATTAACAAACGAACAGAGACGTAACACGTAATGGTAAGCATTGGAATTTTTAGTAAGTTCAATGCAAAGGGTTATCAAAATGAACTATGGATATATTTATAAAAAATTATTTGTATAACGTGCGCATATTCTCGATTCGTGAACACATATTTTCTAATTTAATTTGTTTCAACAACTGGCATACAGCTCCGAGCTAAACGATTTATTTTCACTATATTTTAAACTTAACTTCACAGTCAACGTTGATCAAGTATCACATAAACATACAAGAACACTTCATACATGGTTCAACGTGAGAACTTTTTTTTGTAACCTGTTGTTCAAAACGTTCCTAAATAAACCATTGCAGTGGTTAATTTCTTTCCTAATTGATAGTTGGCTTCTTCAGTTGAATTCTCTACCTAAATCTTCACCAAGTAGTTACATTGGAAAACTACAACGAGCATTTTTCATTCAATAATTATTTTGTCTGAAGATGTTGCTTTATTATTTCTCTGTAACTACTCAGCATGACCGTAGCTAGAATGAAAATTTACTTGAGGTCCAAACATCAACAACCACATATGGTAAGCCTTATATACTGTATACCTTTTCCATGAGTAAAATTAAATAATAAGTTATATTTAATTTCAAATTTTAACCGAGGTTCCGATCTCGGTGACCTCAATTCTTGCTAGGGCCATGCTAAACAGACAGACAGGAATTAACCTCTAAAAGGCAGCTTTATTTGAAACAATTAAAAGCAAGTTAACGTTATTGAGAAGGAACCAAGACAAAGGCAGATTCAAAAACAAAAGGAGCTTTGATGAAACTAATCGATAAAAGATGGTTTTATTGTAAATGACATATAAGAAATTGTACACATCAGCCAGAAGAAAGTTTTTACTGTAAATGAAATGTAAGAAATAAATTGAATCACTCAGAACAAATATAACTATGCTGTAAATGACATGTAACAAACTGTATTAATCACCCAATAGAAATATGTATGGCTTTACTGCAAATGACAAGTAAGAAATAGTACACATGAGAAAGAAAAAATGTAATTTTACTGTAAATGAGGTGTAAGAAATTCTATGAGTCAGTCAGATAAGATATAGAAAAACTATAAATGATATGTAAGCAATCTTACTAATCACCAGAAGATATACATATCAACTGAAAATTACATTTAAGAAATGCAATGAATCAGCCAAAACAAATACAAATTTCCTGTAAATGACATGTAAGTAATGATATGCATTAGGAAGAAGAAATATGGTTTTATGGGAAATTACACGTAAAAAATAATATTCTTCAGTTTAAAGAAATGTGGTCTTCTTATAAATGATATAAAAGAAATGGTATGAAACAGCCAGAAGAAATGTGGATTTTTTGTAAATTACATGTAAAAGATAGTTTGCATCAAGAGAAAGAAATGTGATTTTAGAGTAAATGAAATTTAAGAAATGCTGTGAATTGGCTAAAAGAAATAGGGATATGATGTAAATGACATGTAAAAAATGCTAAGCATCAACCCAATATATTAGGTATTTAATGTGAATGACATGAAAGAAATCCTGTCTGTTTGTTTTGTTTTTCAATTTTGTGCAAAGTTATTCAACAGCTACCCGTGCTATCCATCTCTATTTTAGAAATGAAGGGAAGGTAGCTAGTCAACACCACCACCTACTCTTGGATTACTCTTTTACCAAAAGTAGGATTGACCATCTTATTATAATGCCCCCATGGCTGAAAGGATGAGCATGTTCAGTGATGGGATTCAAAGTGGTGACTCAAAGATTATGAATCAAGCACCCTAGCCACTAGACTATGCCTGGCCCATAAGATATTTTATAAATCAGATACAAGAAATATGGTTTTACTATAAATGTCATATAAGGAATTGTAAGAATCACACACAATAAAATTATTGGTGTACTGCAAATGGCAGGTACCAAATTATATGAATCAGTAAGAATAAGTGTGGTTTTCTGTAAATTGTTTTCACTATAAATTACATATGAAAAGTGGACACATTGTCAGAAAAATACAGAATTAGTGTAAATGATGTGTAAGACTTGTTATACATCCATCAGAAGAAATATGGTTTTACTGTAAGTAAAATGTAAGAAATTCTATAAACCAGCTTGAAGAAATATGATTTCACTGTAAATGATATCTAAAGATCATTCAAAAGAAATATGTTTTTGATCTGAATGATATGTAAGAAATGGTATGAATCAGTCAGAAGAAACAAGGTTTTACTGTAAATTACATGTAAGAAGTGTTATGAATCAGTCAGAAGAAACAAGGTTTTACTGTAAATTACATGTAAGAAGTGTTATGAATCAGTCAGAAGAAACAAGGTTTTACTGTAAATTACATGTAAGAAGTGTTATGAATCAGCTAGATGAAATATAGTTTTACTCTAAATGACATGTAATAAATGCTATGCATTAGTGGGAATGAATATAGTTTTATTGTAATTGATATGTCAGATATGCTGTGAATCAGCTAAAAGAAAAACAAATGGCTTATAAGGTACATATAAGAGTGGTATGTGTCAGTCAGAGAGGTGGATATAGCGTAACTGACAAGTAAAAATTGTTATGAAGTATGAAGAAGCAATATGATTTTGGTCCAAATGGCATGTAAGAAATGCAATGAATCAGCCATAATAAATATGGTTTTGCTGTAAAAGGTATATAAGAAATTGTATTTATCGATCAAAAGACATATTGATTTATGGTAATTTACGTATAAGAAATGCTATGAATCAGACAGAATAAAGATGGTTTTACGATACATGATATGAAAGAAATGGTATGCATAAGTCACAATAAATATTATTTTACTGTAAATGAAATGTAAGAAATACTAAAAAACAGCCAGAAGAAATGGGTTTTTTCTTTACTTGAGATGTAAGAAGTGGTATGTATCACACACAATAAGTAGGTTTTATTCAGTAAATTACATGTAAGAAATGCTATGAATCAGTCAGAAAAAACACCGTTCTTACTGTAAATAAAATTAATCACTCAGAATAAATATAGCTATGCTGCAAATGACATGTAACAAACTGTATTAGTCACTCAATAAAGATATGGTTTCTGCAAATGACAAGTAAGAAATAGTATGCATCAATCAGTAAGAATAAATTTTTTAATTTAAAGAACATGTAAGAAATTGTACACATAAGAAAGAAGAAATATGATTTTAATGTAAGTGACGTATAAGACATTGTATGAATCAGTTACTTAAGATATGGAGGTACTATATATGATATGTAGTCAATCCTACTAATTAGAAGAAGATATACATGTTCATTGTGAATTACATTTAAGAAATGCTAC